TTCTCGATTTTTTTCTTCTGCAAAACTGAATTTTTCGATGGTGATATTAGAAGATCTAGACGCAGCCCATGGGTTTTGTAATCATGAAAATGAATAAAATGAACATGTTCATTTTGGAGATGGAAGTGTAATTAGGTCTTCCAATCTGGAAACAATTTCTTTATTTAAGGATGAACAGGTTCATTTTAATGAAACCGCTGTAATATCGATTGATGAAGATGATGAACATGTTGATTTTGGAGATGGAAGTGTAGTTGGGTCTTCCAATCTGAAAAAAATGTAGTTGGGTCTTGCAATTCGGAAACAATTTCATTATTTGAGGATGAACATGTTCATTTTAATGAAACCGCTATAATATCAATTGATGAAGACGATGAACATGTTGATTGTAATGAAACCCCGGTAATATCCATTGATGAAGCCAATAATTCTGTGGTTGAAACAGGTGAAGGCGCCGGTAATTCAGAAAACATGTTCATTCTACAATGACATATTTCATAATGCAAGATACTCATATAAACATGTTCATTTTTGTATATAAACATATTCATTTCATTTTGTAGAAAAAGTTCATTTTGGTTTTTAACATGTTCATTTCATTTTGTTTTTACATATGTTCATTTTCTATATACGTATGTTCATTTAGTTATTGAACATGTTCATATATTCAATAGGTGTTTATTCTCTGTTTTGGAAAAGCTCGATATAGAATGTATACATGTTCATTTATTAACACAACATATTCATTTCTTAACGGACCATATTCATAATTTTGTAGAGATCGATGATGAAAAATTGCTTGGGATGAAATTTAATTCCTTGGAAGATGCTTATGAATTCTACAATTCATATGCGAAGAGACATGGTTTTGGAGTTAGAAAATTCAGGTCAAGAAAGAAGAAGGATGATATTGTATATCGCAAACAATTTTGTTGCAATAAGCAAGGTTTTAAAAGCAAAGTAGGCAAAGAGAGGAGTTATACAAAATTGGAAACGCGGGTGGTTGCAAGGCAATGATTCGGCTTCTTTTTGATGGTGCTAATTGGATAGTGGAGCAAGAAGAGGATCAACACAACCATGAGTTAGTTCCATGCAATTAAGCCCGCTATTTTCGCTCTCACAGGGATATGCCTTCGAATGATGTAGCATATTTGTCACAATTAAAAGCTAGTGGAGTTGGTGTTGCCGCTGGTTATAGAGTTCTTTCTGATCAAGCTCGTGGTGTTCAAAATATGCCTTATACAATAATTGATGCCCGTAACCACGTTGTAAAGCTTGAACGGAGAATTTGGGAAGGCGGTGATGCAAATGGCCTACTTAATATATTGAAAGAAAGACAAGCCCGGGAAGATGAATTTTATTTTAATAATGTTCTGAATAAGGAAACAGCATCATTGTGTTCCATTTTTTGGAGGGATTCTCGCATGAGGAAGGATTATGAGGTGTTTGGTGATTTAGTTGTATTTGATACTACTCATAGGACAGTTAAGTACAATCTTGCATGTGCTCCATTTACAAGGATGAACCATCACAAGAGAAACATTATGTTTGGTGTCAGTTTTTTGTTTCATGAGGACAAGGATTCATTTCAGTGGTTGTTGGATGAATTTCTGAAGTCAATGGGTGGGAAGCAGCCTGCCACAATAATGACTGATGAAGATGCAGCCATGACAGCTGCAATTCCATTGGTGTTAATGCAATCCCGACATCGCTTATGAACCTGGCATATTGACGAGAATTCAAAAAAGCACATTCAGTATCTTTGGATAATGCCCGGTTTTATCAATCTTTTTCATTTGGTTTTGAGATCAACAGACACAATACCGGAATTCGATTTTTATTGGAAAAAGTGAGTTATTCAATTTATATTTGAACATATTCAGTCAACAATTCAACATGTTCATTTAATACTGAACCATGTTCATTTCTCACATATTATTTTTGTAGATAAAATTCATTTCGTACATATACATGTTCATTTATTTATCACACATATTCATTTATTTATTAAACATGTTCAAATCATATTGAGACGTTGTCATATATTCAAAGAACATGTCAAATAGAATGTAGACATTAAACAACTGAACATATTCAGTTAATACTTAAACATATTCACATCATACTGTAACATGTTCATGATTTTATTTTTGTAGAAAAAGTTCATTTTGTTTTAAACATGCTCACTTTGTATACAAAAATATTCATTTAGTTATTAAACATGTTTACTTTATATAAACAAATATTCATTTAGTTATTAAACATGTTCATTGTTTATAAGAACATGTTCATTGTTTATAAGAACATGTTCAGTATTCAATTACACATATTTATTTCATAATGTAACATTGTTCTTGATACTTCAGGATGTGTGATACATACAATTGCGCTGATGATAAATGGCTGAAGCGGTTGTATTCAAATCGTCACAAATGGTGTCCAGCCTTTAACAAAACTCATTTCTCTGGTGGTATATTATCATCCCAAAAGGATTGAATCAACAAACAACTCAATTTCGGCGAAACTTCCCAAGACTGCTCGATTGTGTGGCTTTTATTCTCATTTTGTCAAAGTTCTTGAGGAGTGGAGAGAGAAGGAGAATAAAGATGACTTTCGGTGCAACAATGGCCGTGTGGAATGTCAATTCCCTGATAATTCACTGCTTCTTAATGTTCGTGAGTTGTACAAAATAGAAGCATATATTCATTTTGAGCAACTGTATATAGCTGCAATTTCGTGCAAGATGGAAGTCGTTGGAGCACCACAAAGCATTGGAATTGAAAATAATGAGAATTTTGTTTTATGTTATGTTCAAAGGGCAAATGTGGATGTGTTCAAGCACCAAGTAAATTTCAACTTAACTTCTCATGAGGTTCGGTGTTCATATGATTTGTTTTCGGAGGTTGGTTTCCTTTGCTGCCACTGGCTTAGGGTGTACATCGTTTTTAATGTCGAAAGAGTTCCAAATATGTATGTACATCCAAGGTGGCGTCGGAATGCCAATTTGAACTGTCGCTTAGACTTGGAGGGAACCCAATATTCTTCGGGTTACCATGTGCCAGGTACATATTCATTATACAATAGAACATATGCATTTACTATTGAAACATGTTCATGTATTATTGAAACATGTGCATGATATTAATTATACAATAGAACATGTTCATTTAGTACTGATAACAAGTTCATTACTCAATCAAATATGTTCATTTCAGGTGCATGCCATTGGAGATCCGACAAAATATGCCAGTTTCTGAAGATTGTTTCATCAAGTGAAATGAATCAAAATGCCAAAGATATTGTTGACGAATGTTTGAGATCCATGTCTGATCGGATAGAGTCTCATTTTTCTTCATTAGCTACAGAAGAACCGTCTTGTACCGCGAAATCTTCTGCCGCGAATGTTAACGATCCAGAGAAATTGAGGTCTAGAGGAGAACGAAACATTCGACGGAAAAGTACAGTGGAGAAAATTTCAAGACAATCAAAGGGGAAGCACAAGAAACAAGCTTCATTGAGGAATAGGAACACCATGTTTAACAGGGTCTTTTCTACAAACCATGAATTTGTTGGACGCTTTGTGCATCCTTTTCCTCCTAACCAAGATTCTCAACATGATCCTAGAGGTCCTGGATACAATTTTACGGACATAAACATGGCCTCTCAAAATGAACATACCTTTCCATTTCTATGAACATGTTTTGTTTTCATATGAACATGTGTCTTTTATTAACCTGATGAATATGTTGATTTTGCACATGCTGTATATTGATTTTGTAAGTAATGTGTGTCTTAACCTGATGTAAAATGCATATTTTACGTTATAAAATGAACTTCACATCTTATAAGATGAATATGTAGAATTCACTCGAACATACTAGAATTTGACTCGATTATACTAGAATTGACTCGATTATACTAGAATTGACTCGATTATACTAAATTTGGCTCGATTAAACTAGATTTGACTCAACTATACAAGAATTGACTCGATTATACTATAATTTGACTTGATTATACTATAATTTGACTCAATTATACTAGAATTTGAATTGATCAAACTAGAATTTGAATCGATTATACTAGAATTGACTCGATCAAACTAGAATTTGAATCAATTATACTAGATTTGACTCGATTATACTAAGTTTGACTAGATTA